ATCTAGTCCCAATTGCCAGCATTTGGCCAATATAGCTCTAAACCCTTCACATTCATATTCCCATCCAGATGCCTTTTATATGTTATAATTGTACCAGCCTCCACCACTCCCTCTGGCAACTCATTCCATACACGCCTCACGCTCTGAATAAAAAAGTTGTCCCTTAGCTACCTTTTAACTCTTTCCCCTCTCATCTTAATTCTATTTCCTCTAGTTTTGGACTCTGCTACCCTGGGGAAAAGACCTTGGTTGTATCCATGCACCTCAAAATTGGGATTTATAGAGTCTTCTTAAAGTTAAAGCACATCAATCCCACAAGTGGCCCAATTTGTTATGATCCCAGCTGCTGTTAATACTGGACAACATAGGTCCTAATATGAAATGTGGCTTCTTAGCTCCCAACATTGTTTTGTTTTACACTGCAGTGGTCAGTCACTCAACACATTCAGAAGAGGTTGCTTGTGAAATTTTAACAGAAATAATGCAATATTTATTCAGTAACAAAAATGAAACTATGTTATACTGGGCACAAGAAAGATTGGAAACATTTTTTTGTAGACATCAGAAAAGGATTCAAATGCATGTTATCCTTTTTACCCAAGCACAAACCTTGAAACACTGAACACCTAATGATTCACCACTACTTCCAAACAAAGGCCCTTCACTCAGACTCAGACAAAGGCAGCTGCAACCAGTTTCCTCACGATCAAATACTGTGCTGTTACTAAATGCATCTAGTGTTTCTCCCTGAGAGACTTCAAGCAAATTAAACTCACTATTAAACTCACAATACATCGCATTGAGCCTGCAGAATTGGCAGCAAGTCATACTCAATTCATGCTTGTAAGCCTCAGAAAGTATGTCTAACATTGGATGTGATTTTGCTACTGGAAATCATTTATTAAATAATCCAAAGTCTGCTAAGATTTACACTGGAAACCAGTTTAATGTCATCAGCCAGGCCCACGGTGCTAGAGGTTATGGAAGCAAATAGCCAGGATTTGGTTTGTGTAGGCAAAAGGATTGTATATTTAGATTGCACCTTTTTTTTAAAGAAAAAGGCATCATAGAGACAGTCAAACTCTGCTGTATGCCCCGTGGCAATATCCTGGCCAATCTGAATCTATTGCCAGGTAGGAGAATTAAGATTGACATTGCCAGGCAATGACTGTCTCCAATAAGAAACAATCTAACCACTGCTTCTTGGCATTACCACCATTGAATCCTCCATAGCCACCATCCTTGGAGTTACATTGATCAGAAACTCAACTAGACTCATCATATAAATACAGTGACTACAAGAGCAGTTCAGAGGCTAGGAATACTGTGAATAACTTACCTCCTGACTCCCCAAAGCCTGATTTTCATTTACAAGGCACAAGTCAGGAGTGTGATGGAACACTTCCCATTTGCCTGGATGGCTGCAGCCCCAACAACACTCAAGTAGTTTGACACCATCCAAGACAAAACACCCACTTAATTGGCAGCACATCCACAAGCATCCACTCCCTTCACCGCCGATGCTCGGTAGCAGCAGTGTGTGCTATCTATAAGACAGTAGATGGTGACTCACAGTGCTAGGGACCCAGGTTCGATTCAAGCCTCGTGACTGTGGGGAGTTTGCACGTTCTCCCCACATCTGCGTGGTTTTCCTTTGGATGCTTCAGTTTCTTTCCACAGTCCAAAGAAGTTCAGATTAGGTGGATTGGCCATGCTAACTTGCCCTGTAGTGTCCAGGGATATACAGGCTAGGTGGGTTAGCCATAGTACATGTGGGTTACCAGGATAGGGTGGTGGGGGGGTGCTGGGTTTGTAGGGGATGTTCTTCGGAAGGTTGGTGTGGACTTGATGGGCTGAATGACTTCTTCCCACGCTGTGAGAATTCTATGATTCTTCTATGGCTCTATGTTTCTAAGATGCACTGCAGAAATTCACCAAAGAAAGACTGGTACCTTTCAAACTCATGATCACTTCCATCTAGAAGGACAAGGGGCAGCATATGAACACCACTACCTGCATGATCCACTACAAGCAACTCACTATCCTGACTCAGAAATATATCACTATTCTTTAAGTGTTACTGGGTCAAAACGTTGGAATTCCCTCCTTCATGGCATTTGGGTCTACCCGCAGCATGCGGGCTGTAGCAGTTCAAAAAGGCAGCTCACCATCACCTTCTCAAGGACAACTAGGGATGAGCAGATAAATACTGGTCAGACAATGATGCCCTCATCCAATAAGTAAATTTTAAAAATCTATTCTAGTCGCATCTCCAATTCAATTACAGCTCATCCAATTAATATCCTCTTCCCATTCTAGAAACTTACGTTTCTTTTTTCCCCAAGTCTATTTGTTGCGTCCCGGTTCTGATGAGTGCAAGATGAAAGACTTTGATTTCTTTTAGTCTTCTTTTAGCAATGTTTAAGTTCTGTACTACAATGCATTTATTGGAAAGATCCATCAATTTTGCTTCAGATTTCTATCCTTCTTTCACCTTTACCTGATACAACTTTGACACTTCACTTCTTTAACATCTCCATTTCCATTTCTGAGGATAGGCTGTCCACCAATATCATTACAAGGTCATTGCGCAGCTACCTCAACGACACCTCTTCACACCCTACTTCTCCCGTAAGGGCTTTATTCCAATTTCACAGTTTCTTTGTCTCCATCACATTTGTTCCAATGATGTCACCTTCATTGGCATGCCTCTGACATAACTTCATTTTTCCTCAACCTGACCCATTTTCTGCACTTCTGCCCTCACCCCTTCCACTGCCTCCCAGATCAACAATAGGTTTCCTTTGACCTCATTTCCCATCTCACTAGTCTTCGTATTCAAGGGAGCATCCTCTGCCATTTCTGCAACATTCAGCAGCATGCCACCACCAAGCATACATTCCCATCCCCTCCACTGTCAGCATAACACAGGGATCATTCACTCTGTGACACCCTGGTCACTCCTCCAGCACTCCTAATGCTTCCTCACTCTCCCATGGCACCTTCCTATTCAACTGCTCAAGGTGCAACATTTGCCCATTTGCTTCCTTCCTCTTCATCATTAAAGGCCTCAGGCACACCTTCCAGCTGAAGCATTGACTTACTTGTACTTCTTTCAATCTGCGTATTTGTTGCTCATATTGCAGTTTCCTTTACCTTGGTGAAACTAAACACAGATGGGTTGACCACTTTTTGGAACACCTCCACTCTGTCAATAGCAATGACCCTGAGTTTCCAGTTACTTGCTATTTCAATAAACCACCTTACTCTCATGCTAACATTTCTGTCCTTGGCCTGCTGCAATGTTCCAGTGAAGCACAACACAATCTTGAAACCTAAGGTATGTAGATGAGGGCAATGCATTTGACATCATCTACTTGGACTTCAGCAAGTTTTCTGAGAAGGTCCTGTATGGGAGATATATAGCATGGGTGAGAGCCCACGGAATTCAGGAAAATTTGGCAAATTAGATCCACAATTGGCTAGATGGCAGGAAGCAGTTTGATGGTTGAGAGGTGTTTGCTGACTAGAAGCTTGTGTCTATTGGGTTCTCACAGGGTCCTTGCTGTTTGTGACATATACAACTGATTTAGACTTTAATGTCAGAGGGTTGATCAGTAAGTTCGCAGTTGATTCAAAAATTGGTGGGATGGTTAGTAATGAGGAAGAAAGCCTTTATAGGAGAATATAAATAGGACGGTCAGATGGGCTGACAAGTGGCAAATAGAATTCAATCTGGACAAACGTGATGTTATGCAATTGGGCAGGACCAATAAGGCAAGGGAATGCATGATGAATGGTAGCATAAGAGGGACTTTGGTCTGTATATAAACCAGTCTCATACTGTATCAGGACAGATGGATGAAGTGGTTAGGAAGGTACATGGTAAACTTGCCTTTATTAGCCGAGGCATAAAGTTTAAGAGCATGAAGGTTATGCCGGAACTGTATAAAATGTTGGTTCGGCTACAGCTAGAGTATTGTGTGTAGTTCTGGAATCCACTTTATAGGATGGTGTGACAGTATTGGAGAGGGTGCAGAGGAGATTTACCAGGATGTTGCCTGGTCTGGAGAGTTTCAATTATGAAGAGCAATTGACGTACTGTAGTTGTTTTCCTTAGAGTAGGGGAGATTGAGGGGGGACATGATTAAGATGCATAAGACAGGAAGAAACGTTTCCCCTTGATGGAGGGATTATTGACCGGGGTGTAGATTTAAGGTAAAGCAGAAGATTTGTATGGGATTTGAGGAAAAATGTTTTCACACAGAGATGGTGGAATTCTGGAACTCACTGCCTGTGATTGTGGCAGAGGCAGAAACTTCCATCATAGTTAAGAAGCATTTTGATGTGCATCTGCAATGCCAAGACAATGCAAAGCTATGGGCCAAGTGCAGGAAATTGGGATTCAAATAGTTAGGTAGTTGTTTATGACTGGCATATATGCAATGGGCCGAAGGCCCTTTCCCTTTGCTGCAGAACTCTACTATGATTATAAATTCCACACTTCAGACCCTGACCATATGATATCTGTTCTCCATTTTTCTTACGTTCATTCCACCTGCAACAAGGGCTTGTCTTGTTTGTGTCTTATTTACTTTGCTCTCAGTCGAGAGGATCCATTGTAACCCTTCCACACCTTCTTTTACTCTCATTTTACATCTCTATTTCTCTTTCACCCCAATTAGCAACCCTTTGTCTTTTGCACTGGGCCTCTACCCCATCTGTTCCCTTTGCTCCTCCTCCAGCTCTGTCAAAAGTATGAAAAATATTTTCCAAACTATTTTAGTTTTAAAGAGTTATATTAAACTCTGTGTCCACAGAAGATGTGAAACTTTTTGAGTTTCTCCAGCATTTCTGTGTTTGTTTTATTTGCATGTACATGGCTTTGGTGATGACCTGAGGAAGTGTGAAGCCTGAGGGGTTAAAGGAATGGACTCTTAGGGCACCTGATAGTGCGGGTCTCAGTAGCACATTCATGCTAAGGAGGAAAGCCACTCACAGAGTACAACTTGCTGATGTGCCAGTTGTGAAATACATGGATAGTATGCACTGCTGGGGATAACAGCTATGAAGGTACCCCGAATGGACAGGATAAGTGAGCTGTCTTGTGAGGGGGTGAGCTACATCTCCAACCATTCAATGGAATTTAACAGGGGAACATCACTGTCCCCTAACATGGGATGTATTGGCCACATAGGCATGAATGGTGCCTGCCTTTTGCCATCCTGCCACATTGACTATTTCAGTTGTACCTTACTACCTTCGTCACCGCAGTCCTGCGCACGAGATGCAGAATGATGGGTGGAAGCGAGGTAGGATCAGAATGAAGGGCCCAGCCACTTCTACAGTCTCCTGCGTGGAGACTGTCATAGGGTCTGGTTCTCCCTTCGGCAGGGAGCCTTGTGACACCGCCCTCTATCCTTGAAAGGGAAGAGCCCCTGGATTATGGTCGGGCCAGCATTTATTGCCCATCCCTTGTTGCCTTGAGAAGATGATGGTGAGCTGCCTTTTTGAACCGCTGTTATTGGTAGTCCCACAACACTCTTAGGAATTCTAAGAACAGGGAAGAAACGGCGATATATTTCCAAGTCAGGAATGTGAGAGGCTTAGACGGGAACTTGTAGGTGGTGGTGTTCCTAGCAATCTGCTGCCCTTGCCCTTCTAGAAGAAGCAGTCTTGTGCTTAGAAGGTGCAGGCTAAATATCTTTGGTGAATTTATGTCATGCATCTTGTAGATGGTACAAATGCTATTATTGAGCATTCATGACTGAATGTCTGTGAATGTGATGCCAATCAGCTGGGCTGCTTTATTGTGTAAAAAAAAGCCTGAAAGAACTGTGGATGCTGTAAATCAGGAACAAAACAAAGTTGCTGGAAAAGCTCAGTAGGTCTGGCAGCATCTGTGAAGAAAAAAACAAAGTTAACATTTTGGGTCCGGTGACTCTTCCTCAGAACTGCTTTATCATGTATGTCGTCAAGCTTGGGCCATTGGCAGTCCTAGGCAATAACAGGATGTAATGCCACTTTAGCACATTGTGCATTAAAGAAAGGTAGCACTCCCTTAGACAGGGTTATAGGTCGTATTGTATTATAGACAGGTAGCCTGTGTAGAATGATTCTTGAAGTTGCTATGATAGCGAATCAGACAGGTGATAGTGTAATGTGGCTATAAATTTACAAAAATGAACTTTAATTTGCTATGATGCATCACCCATGCCACCTGGATGCCCTCAAAAGCTTTCCCTTTTCACTTCTTCCCCACTATGTGTACTGAGAAGCTCTATTCATTGCTGATTCATGGCAGGGCTTTAATAATGGCAACAGAAATTCTGGCAATTCCTGGCATTAGCAAGTAGTCCTGCAAGATAGCATGTGAGCATTGCCATAATGACATGGTGCATAGTCAGCAGGGAATTGTCTGAGATAACTAGTAGAACTCACAGAAGGAAACTTTCTACATAGCTCCTTGAAATTGACACTTAGCTGACTTTTGGAAAATTTCAGCCCATAAACAGAACCTTGCTCAATCTCATGGACTTTGTCATATTCTATCCTTGCTGACAATAATCAACTTCTTTCATAATTTTCCGTTCTTCCTTCTCGGTGGTTACATAAATTGATGCTACCAAACAGTACCAGTCTGTCAAGGACTGCTTGTCTATATGTCTTCCACAGACTGTTCAATACGCTTCAAATCCCCACAGCAAGAGTTCTTGAGTTGTCAATTTTATTAATCTTTTAACTGAATTTTACGACTTTAACAGGTTAATGAATGGAAGTCAATCCAAAAAATCATTGAGGTCAGCCTCAAGCAAGTGTGGGATATTGAATAGCTTGCATTAAATCATTCCTTGAATCTGAGTTGAATCCATGACTGGTATGCTGAATCATTTGAAAGAAAAACATAATGAGCTTAAGTGTGTTAATATGATTAATAAAGCATCTCTATAGAATGGCAAAAGCTTTAAATCTGAATGCTAACTATGTTCACTCAAGTATATTTGCATGGTTTTCATGCAGCAGCTCATTCTATTGTTGAAGAACTGTCCAATGACTTAAGTAAATCCAGTGAGAAGTTCTAAATAGGTATCTTGACAATGAAGGTATATATCTTAGAGTGATAGTGTCCACATTCTTTAGTACAGTCTCAGTTACAGCCACTGGCAATAATGATCTCTCTTATCAATGTTAACCTCACTAATCATCATTACATGATCTGAAACAAGAATCTGGAATTAGCCAATACATAGGATTGTATTGGTCATTGCACAACAACATCCTTCTGCAAATCAACCAACTGTAGCCATTGATTACAGTGTTTGAGCAGACAATTCATTCGCTCGGTGGTAATTAGTGGAATCAAGCATTCTGCCCCTCACCGAGGAGGGACAGTTACCTTAGAGACCTGTCAGCCAACTGATTGGGCAACGCCTCTGCATTCTCAGCAATGCCAGCAGTTGGAGGATAAGGTAAGTGACAGAAGGCATGATCCATACTGAAACCTGGTGTCACCCCAACTGATTTGCTTTCCAGGGGCTTTAAGGGAATAAAGCTTCTAATAGTCAGCAGGCAATCTCCACTGAGATCATTTAATTGCCGCATTTCCTATCATGGGATGCATATCTTTCTCTTTAGTGCTGCTGGCCATCAGGGATTAACAGCTCATTTACACAACAGTTCCGCTGGGGTCAGTAGCCCCTACTGGTATTGTATTGTCATCAGTGATTGATCATCCAGAGACCAGGAGGGAGGTGGGACTGGGGATGGGGGGGCACTTTCCAGGGGTAAGAGGTAAGTAGATATAAGTGACATGGGTGGCTACCTGTGACACCACACTTCCCAATGGCAGGTTTTGCAGTCAGTCATAACGTGTCCCACTCAAAAGGCCGCAATAAAACTAAAAACAGTTGGATTTCACAAGTTTCAAAATCTCCCCTCCCCCCACCACATCCCAAAACCAGTCCAGCTCGTCCCTGCCTCCCTAACCTGTTCTTCCTCCCACCTATCCCCTCCTCCCACCTCAAGCCGCACCTCCATCTCCTACCGACCAACCTCATCCCGCCCCCTTGACCTGTCCGTCCTCCCTGGACTGACCTATCCCCTTCCTAACTCCCTACCTACACTCACCTTTACTGGCTCCATCCCCGCCTCTTCGACCTGTTTGTTTCCTCTCCACCTATCCTCTCCTCTATCCCTCTTCTATCCGCCTCCCACTCTCTCCCTATTTATTTCAAAACCCCCTTCCCCTCCCCCTTTTCTGATGAAGGGTCTAGGCCCGAAACGTCAGCCTCTCTGCTCCTATGATGCTGCTTGGCCTGCTGTGTTCATCCAGCCCTGCACCTTGTTGTCTGAGATAGAAGACTGATGCCATAGTAGAACGAGGCCCCTAGGAGGTCTTGAACTGGTGATTGCTTTCTGGGGTAGATGGATGTCCCCAAAGCTATCAATTCTGGACTTAAATCCGAAGTGGGGTGGAAAGCCGTTGGGATTTCCCAACACTGTCCTGCTTCAAAACTCACTCTGGACACATGTATAAATTCAGTCCTATGAGCACCAGAACCAGGATGGAGATCAGAGTGTGGGTCTGGTAATGGGGTCAGGAAGAGAGGATTGGGGTATATGATAGGCTTTGGGAGGTGGGTTTTGGGATTGCAAGGATTGGTGATTGTGATGGATAGCCAGGAGGAACAAGGTTGTGGGTGGTGGTGGGTGCGTGTGTCGCCTAATTGGGAAAGGGGACCCTGAGGGAGTCACCTCTTCATCTCTCAGCCAAGGCTTGAGTAGGACAACCAGCCAGGCCTTCCCCGTTCTTGACATTAATGAAGGAGACGTATTAGACAGTCTGGTTCCACTTAAAATTGATAAGCCATGAAAACCAGAGAAAATGCATTCAAGAACAGAGAGATGACTGAGTGCCTCCCTGAGGGCCCACCTTTCCCAATGCTGTCTATCTGCTTGAGCTATTCGTCTATTGCCACTCCACTGCCTTTTCATTGTAGCTCGGTGAATTGTTGCTGTTCAGATATTGATCAAATTCTCTTTTGAAAGCCACAGTTAAATGGCTCTCCTTCATCCGCAAGCAAGGCCATTCCAGATTCTAACCACTAGCAGTGCAAAAGGCTTTTTGTCAATTTAATTAAACACAACTTGCCCATAACCAATCCATATTGGCTTTCCTTACTTAACTCACATTTCACAAGTAAAGTTGACTTGAATTATTGTTTCTAAAATCTTCTCCATCACTGATCTTAAGCTGACTGGTCAGTATTACTTGCTGGGTTTCTTGTTACACCCTACAATTCTTCAGTCTTTGTTTACAGGGGAATTGGAAAATTATGGCCATTGTCTCTGTAATTTCCACCTTTACTACCCTTTATTGTTCTTGGATGCATGTTAACTGGTTCTTACGACATAACAATTGTAAGTGGAACCAAATTATCTAATACATCTTCCTCGTTAATTTTAAACCCTTCAAGTGTCTGAAATATCTCCGTTTTTCACCATGACTAGCACATGTGGACTGCAGTGGTTCAAGAAGGCAGTTCACCAACGCCAATCAAGGGCAACTAGGGACAGGCAATAAAATGCTGCCAGCTAGCAAGATCCACATCCCATGAATGAATCAAAACAAAACCTTCTTTCTTGGTATAGACAGATACAAAGTACAGGTACAATTTCTCAGAACTTGCTGTTTAGTAACCCAAGTTGTCTAAAAACCAGACATTTTTAGAATGTACCATGAAACATTTTAATGAAATATTTACTCAATTGAAATGAAACTACTTGGACAATTTGGCTGTACGTTGCGTGACATCAGATTTGTTATCTGTTTTCTGCTGCTCACTGATCCATTCTCATGTTCTGGCTGACCATTGACTCCATCAGATCAGGATTGGCCTGAACCACTGACTTTCAGTTAATTACTGCAGCTAAGTACACAGAAAAGAAATACTAAACATGTTGCTGTTATGGTAGAATTGCCTGGAATAATATTTATTAACGTAATCATCACAAATAGACAATGAAATAATGTACAAATAATTTCCTTTATACAAGACTTATAATTCAAAACTATCAAATATTACTTCATCAAACCTCCATCGTTATTTCCTTCACTTTCTCCCAGGATTCACGATATTTGGTATTCAAGTGGTTTTGGCAAAATTGCACATTTGATTAAGACCAAAGGCACATCCAAACAAATAATAACTGTGTCTGTTTCACTAAATCACTTTGTTTCAAATATTTATCCAATCTCCTACTGATAATTATTATTTAATCTGCTTCCACAGCCCTTTCAGGAAAAGTTACAAAGAAAAGTAACAAAACATTACAATACAAAGATTTTAGCACCAGCTGCTAATATACAAAAGTCTAGAAATTACTGTACAATTTTAGCACAATACATTTACATGGAATTAAACTATTTGCCCTCTTGAAATAAATTTCGACTGATTTCAAATGACTGGGTTAAAGTACCAAAATAATGACAAAAATATGAAATAACTCCAAGTTATTTCTGGTTAATTTCTATTAGGAATTTTTTTCGCGTTCAATATTTTCCAACAATATTTCTTTTCCATTATTTTTATGTATTAACTAATAAAATATCTGTTGAACACACTATAAACTGTATTCTAATTTAGATCTATTAAAGTAATAAAAATGGCTAGCAATTCTGATCAAGGATCATCCCTGATTTGTTAGCCTTCTTTTGAATTTCACATCACTGTGTTCTGTTTTTACTCCAAATTCACAGAATAGGCAGTTTTTCCTTCTATGTTCTGGTATTTATATTTGTATTTATAAGTGGTATCTTTTTAATAAAACCAGTGTTGCCAAAAAACATAATTTAGCTTTGCAATAACAGAAAGGACGGACTCACTATTAGATTGCAATTAGTTGAAAATGTGCAATTGCCGCCATTATTATGACTGGAAGGCTAATGTCATAGAGGTAGTTTGAGGCTTACTGAGATATTTAAGCTATTCTTTCAACATATATGACACCACAAATAATGTGGTACTCAACTTCATATCCTCACATCGGAATGTAACATGATGACAGTTTGGGTAGCACCAAACTTCACATCTGAGCCATACAGGCGTCACCCTAACATTGACTAAGATCTATTTCTAAGTGAAGATGCATGTCAACACTTATTTGAATAAAAAAATTTTAGGACTTTTGCTTTATACATCAGAATGGCAGAATTATTGAATTATTAATATTCCCTGTTTGTAGGATTTTTATCTCCCAGCCAGCTTCATATCAGAGACAACAGTGTGGAGCTGGAGGAGCACAGCAGGTCAGGCAGCATCAGAGGAGCAGGAAAGGTAATGTTTCAGGTCGTTACCCTTCTTCAGAAATCATATCAGCTTCATATCAGGCCTTTTCAGCCCAACGATATAAAATGTTGCTTGGATAAAGGGAACTAATACCTATAAAAGTGCAAAAACTCACAATTTCCCATATTCCTTTTAATGAAAGGAAAATTGTAGATATTATTGCATTAGGCCTACTGCCACATTTATCAAACATAATGTGAAATTATCCCTGTGTAACACATTGTGACTGCTATTGCTTGCACTCTGTGACTTTATGCCAGTGCTCCATGTATCTTTGTTATCTGTTGGTTCTGAAACATTCTTTCAGTGGGGGTTTGCTATTAGTCAAGCTTGTTCTTCACTTGTTCAAAAATCTGCATAACTCTCACTGTTGGGACACATCCTTCTCTTAGAATGGTGATTCCTTCTAAAGAAAGTAAATATATTTTATTAGAAACGGATTAATCGTTGCCAAACCCACAACAATTACCACTGAAGTGACCTTTAAGAAGCATTAATTACAGACTTATTGAAAACTCCACATTAAAACTAAGAACACTTTTAGAAACCGGATCATGTGTAAAGATTGATGCTTGGCTTATGCTAGTTATTAGTAAAATCAGTTTACAATTGCATTTCTGTGATGGGCCTCAGAATTGTCAACAAAAGTTATATCTGGCTGACTGGCAGAAGTACTGACCTGTACTAGTAACAATACGATAATCATTGTGTCATATGCTATGAGAGAAAATTGCTTAGCGCTAGATGTGACAGCTATATGTGCAGCTGATCCAACTGTAATCCCATTTCATATTTCAACTACCACTGTTAACATATCAAAACTAAAATATGATTTAAATGAATTAAATATACATATATAAGACTTAGTGTGTAAACTACTATAGATGTCTTGGATACAATCAGTTTAGTCAGCAGGCAAAGCAATTTATAACTAAAAATCTGTGATACCTTCATCAATCTTAGTACAGTTGATGACAGTGGAAGCAACCAGTTCATTGGAGTCTCCGTCACATAAAACAGCATCAATTTTGTGCCCCAGGCGTCTATTGATAAAATGATAATGTAAAACATTGAAAAATGCATTTATCGTGAGGTAAAACAACATATAATTCCATGTCAATATTTGAATACGTACGAGATAACCATGTCATGATGGATGCTATCAGGCTCCCCACTTGGGTTGGCTGATGTAATTGCTAGTGGCCCAGTCATATTCACGAGATGTGCTGTCACAGTATGGTCAGGAACACGGATCATGATGCTGTCCTTGGTACCAACATGGTCATATGCAGCACCAACACCTTTAAAAAAGGATACAATCTGATTTTTCAGAATCTATTCTCATTTCCATTATTATTGATGAACTGATAATAAACCAATTATTTGAATAAGGATGAACAGATACTTCAAAGCGCTCTGCTAATTGTGATGCACACCTAGTTTCTTCAGCCATTCTCCTTTCTTCACAATGCAGCTCATCCCTCCAGGGTAGACATGGTTCATAAACTCCCAGAGCAAGGGGCTGAATGGAGGATGCACTGCAGAAAGCTGATCGAGACTGGAGATGCAGATACAAATAGGCTTCTCAGCAGGACGCTCCTGGAAAGCCATGGACACCAATTATATGCATTAAAAGATTGATAAAGTGCACTTTGAAGAAAGATTATATTATGGACTAAAAATAAAATGCTTTAAAAATCATGTCTAAATACAGAGTATTTATGCCTCATTGCATTTTGCACACTTACCTTTATGTTGTAAATTCCTTCAATAGCTTTTGGGTGTTTACAGGAAGCTGCCAGAGCATACACAGTATCTGTTGGGATGCCACACACATGGCCAGAATCTAGGATTTTTGCAATAGTCCGTAGGCCACTAGTTTTCCGTGAAGAAGCAATGGAACAAGGCAAAGGGACTTGATCTTTCTTTTTGCTTGCTCCTACCTGTGATTTATATATAAAACTATAAATCATGTCAGGAACATAATCCATTTTAATTGATATATTACAACGGAAATGACCCTGCTGTTCTTCAATATTGTTTGTATTTAAATAAAAGAGTAGAACCTCTTTACATTATCCCTTGTAAATAAAACAAGAATGCAAGTTGATAGACTATTAGAAAGTTATGGCAATTTGGAAGACATCTGAAATTTTAAATAATGTTCTTGAGCAGTTTATTAACTGCCAAGAAAGTGAAATACATATCTATGACTCTTGACAGTTTACTCCTTAACTTGTGGATCTTTTCTGTGGTATTGCTCACAGAAGCTCGGATGCTAGGTTATTTCATCCTGACAGGGGTATTTTACTAAGCTGAAATATGCAAGCTGAGGACAACATTGTTTAGGAGAGATAGTAAGAACTGCAGATGTTGGAGAATCTGAGATAACAAGGTGTAGAGCTGGATGAACACAGCAGGCCAAGCAGCATCATAGGAGCAGGAAGGCTGACGTTTCGGGCCTAGACCCTTCATCAGAAA